AAACAAAGTAGTAAATATAGCATAAATTGGGGGGTGGGATGCAACAACTGAATTCCTGTGCTTCATATTGTCAGAAAATAAAACTGTTCCCAGCACACACACCCACACTCTCTCACACACTTATTTTGACAGAAAAAAAGTCAAAAAGAAAGAAATGTACAATTCAAGTATTATAATCTGATGAATGTTAGTGTCTTGTAAATCATTATTTGCTTACTTCTTGGGAATGATGTTTGTTCTATTTCAATCATATAGCTTACATCTAATATCAGGCTTCTATTTATAAGCAGTCACAGATTTGGGGTTTTGGAATTTGGTGAGGGACGATTTCTTTTTCCCCTAGTAAAAGTAGTTTGCTCACAAAGAATTAACTGGTCCAAAGCATCTGTAGGGTTTCTTTCAGGGTGCCAGGATTTTCTGGCAGAATTTGTAAAGCAAAGACTCACACAGTGATTTCCCTTCCCCTCTGTCTATCCCGTCACCCATCATCCCAGTCAGCTAACAGAAATCACTGAGTTCCTCTTAGGTTCCCAGTCCTGTGGTAGAAGTACTGGGGATAATACGTGAGCAAGTGACAAAATGTAGAAATTAAGAAATTATATTATATCACAAACAAGTTTTGGTGAAGATAACTTATGTTGCAGCAGTACACTGTCAGGGAACTTTTAGAAATTCTAACTGGATTCAGAAGAGGACTTGGAACCAGAGAAATCATTGCTGTTGTCAGAGGGATGTTGGCTGAAATCGGAGAACACCCCGAGAGATGTTCACATCTGTTCTAATGACTACACAAAAGTATTCAACTGTGTGGGTCATAACAAACTATAGATAGCATTGCAAAGAATGGGAATTTCAGAGCACTTAATTGTGGGACTTGAACACAGACCAGGAGACAGTCATTTGAACTGAGCAAGTAGATATTGGATCACTAAAGTCAGGAAAGGTGTGCATCAGAGTTGTACCCTTACACACTAGTTCATCAGCTTGTAGGCTGTGCCCGATAAACTGGATTCTATGAAGAACATGGCCTCATGACTGGAGGGAGAGTCATTAACAACCTTGTGATGTACAATGGCAACACAGCCTTGCTTGCTAAAAGAGAAGAGGAATTGAAGTACTGACTGATGAAGATCAAAGATTTACACCTCAACATAAAGCAAATAAAGCTCATCACAACTGGACTATTAAACCACACCACGATAAGTGGGGGAACATTTGAAGTTGTCAAGGGTCTCATTTTACAAGGATCACACTCAGTGCCCATGGAAGCAGCAGTCAGGAAATCAAAGGATGTATTGCAGGATCGGATATTGTTTCGTTCTGCTGTGCATGGGGTCACTATGAGTCGGTTCCAACTCGATGGCTCCTGACAACAACAACAACAACATTGCATTAGGAAAAACTGCTACAAAAAGATCTCTTTAAAGTGTTCAAGAACAAAGAAGGTCTTTGTTCACCCAAACCATGGTCTTTTCAATGGTCACCTATGCATGTAAAAGCTGGACAAGGGATAAGGAAGATGGAAGAAAAATTGAAGCCTTTGAATTATGGTGTTGGCAAAGAATACTAAATACACCATGGGTTGCCAGAAGAATAAATGAATCTATTTTGGAAGAAGTTCAGGCAGAATGCTCTTTAGTAGCAAGGATGGTGAAACTTTGTCTAACATACTTTGGACATATTAAGAGGAGGGACTAGTCAGAATAAAAATAACCAATGTCAGCAAAACTCCGACAAATGTCCAATGAGATAGATTGGCACAGTGGTTTCAACAATGGGCTCAAATATAGAAACAATTGTGACTTTGGTACAGAACCCAGAATACAGAGCTATCCTGTTGTGCACAGGCTATCTCTAAATCAGAATCAAGTTGATACCACCTAACACAACATACCTAAAGTAGCTGCAGAAATAGTGGTGGTGCCCTGGTAGAATTCTGGCCTTTCGTGCATTAGACTCTGCAGAGTTCAGTTTCTGGCCAATGTACCTAGTGTGCAGCTATCATCAGTCAGTTAGTGGGTCTGTATGCAGCTATGATGCTGAAGTGGTCTCAGTAGGGTACCCAGACTAAGATGGACTCAGAAGAAAATGGGCTATTTCTGAAGATAAGCCAACGAAAGCTATGGATCACAAAGGTCTGGTTTGCCAAGCATCATGGGATGGTGTAGTGTTTTGTTTCATTATGCATAGGGTTGTCATGTGTCACAGGCAGCTAACAACAAGTAAGTACCTGTCATACCCACCTATAGCATCCTTCTGAGGAGTAGGTTAAAGTCACCAAAGTATTTTGTGTCTTAGTGTAAAAAGTGAGAGGAGAAATCACTAAAAAATAATCACGCAAATCTGAGGCATTCCTCTGAGGGGAATTTGGATTGGCTGCCCCCACAGCCTTCATTGGCTGATTGAAGGATAGCATGGTCTTCACATTGCTTCCCAGTCATCCCCAAAGCCTCCATCAACGTTACGAGTCAACTACTTAGTATATCAGTTGACAAGGCTGCCAATCCTGCAAAAATGCAGGCAAATGCTTTCTCCAATAAATAACCATATGTGCATTTTAGGTTCCAAATTTTACTCAGGGAGGAAAATTATATTGTGCTTGTAAGAAACCAAGGTGGGCTTGCTCTTTCTTTCCCTCTCTGAAGTGCATTCAAAGACAAGAGAGGAAATTCGAAATGGGGAAATGTTCAGCTGGTGCAAAATGCCATTTCAATCGGAAGAGTGTGGTAGTAATTCTGACTTGCAGTCATCTTATGCTCCGTCCCGTGCATTCTCACTTCTGGAGCCATTAACGGTGTCCCTGATACCGTGAAGGACAATGCACTGAATGTGGAGATTCCTGACCACCTGCCATGCTTGATGGATGGGGCGCTTCTGAGAATTCATGGCCAGGAGGAGCCGTTTCTACTTAGTTCTGTCAGAAAGAATTACTCAGTGTTTATCTTCCAGAGTTTCAGTGGAGGCTCTCCACAGGTGTACACAGACTTTATAAATCGCCATCATGTGCAATACTTTCAGGGATGGTCTTCTCTGAGATCAACCAAGCAGACTAAATAACTCAACTGTTGATACCTTACCATTTCGATTAATGGATTCAGCATTAGTAAACAGAACCAGCAAAGACACCACTTTGAGGACTAACGTACACCTGACTCAAGCCATGGTATTTTTCAATTGCCTCATATACATGTGAAAATTGGACAGTGAATAAGGAATGCCATAGAAGAATCAATGCATTTGAATTAGGGTGTTAGAAAAGAATGAAAATACCACGGGCTGCCTGAAGAACAAACAAATCTGTCTTGAAAGAAGTACAGCCTTAGAATGTTCCTTAAAAGTGAGGGGTGAGAGCCTTCATCTCTCATTCTTCAGACATGTTATTAGGAAGGACCAGTCTTTGGAGAAGAACAGGTTTGGTAAAGTGAGAGTCAGCAAAACAGAGCACACTGCAGTGAGATGGATTGGCACAGTGGCAGCATCAATAGGCTCAAACATAGCAATGACTGTGAGGATGGTGCAGGCCCCCGCAATCTGTTGTATATAAGGTCACTATGAGTCAGAACAACTCCACAGCACATGACAACAACAAGCAGAACTGAAGTTCAAACACACATACACACACATACAATCATGCTATTTGTGACAACGCTGAAACATATTTTGAGATAGGATTATCCTGTTTTCTCAAGGTGATCTATTTGGTCCTTCAGGTTTCCATGGCTTACAAAAGAAAAGACACAGAAAGTATGAAATTCTTCACCTTTATTAACTCAAACATATTTTTATTAAAGAGTGAATGCACGTATGATAAAGAATAGTTTACATATGTTGTAGAGCAACAAGCATATCTTCAACAAGTGAGTCCTCTCAATATGACTCCATGCTTATTCTACATGCCTTAACATAGGACCCACACACAGGGAAGGGGACACGCATACACACGTACACAGATGCATACATAGACACACAGATAAGCAGACCAAACACCAACACCATCGCTCTCTGGATTTCTTGAGCACTCATTTAAGGCTTCTGTAAGGTGCTCCAATGCCCCTAACATTACAAGGAGTCAAACAGATTTTGAAAGGAGAAGCATTCCCTGGAAAACCAGTCATTTTATCTTAGCCTTAAAAAGTATGCACTTTAACAAATAACTTGCCATTGTATTCAATGTTGACTCTTTGCACTTAGGACATCTCAAGATCCATGGAAGTCAGAAATCTATGTTGTTGTTTTTTTGTAGTGAGAATTTCTCTTTAGAAATCGTGACCAAACTAGCAACTCTGAACCTAAAATCTCCCCAAATTTAAGGTAAGCAGGTCAGATTTCCGTTTACATTAAGATATATGTGGCTTCCCTTCCAAGTCGGGTATAGAGAGCTGGTTCCCTAAGTTGTGTGCAACGTTGAGTGTTGGGAGCAAGGCTTCCTTGGTCATTCCACATCAGATCTGAAGCTTGCCTTGATGGATTCATCATCAGCTAGAATCACTGAACGTGTAAGTTTCCATAAATCAAGATTGAGAAAAGGTGTTTGCCCACTTGTTTGACGCTCTCTTTTCCCAGGGTTTCTTGAGTCAAGGTTGGTTGGTTGGATTGCTGATTTCATTTGCTCTGTTAGTTTCTTCCCTTTTGGTGTCCTGCAGTGTTAAGTTGAGAATCCCTATCTCTAGGAATGTTGGCTTGGGTTGGATAGGGAGGGAGGGTAGAGAGGGCGGGAAAAGGGAAGGGGTGGTTAGTACTTGCAAGTCTTCTAAGAAAATAGATGACATGAATACATAAAAGGGTACTACTTGATATATTATGTAATAAAAGCATTATCTTTAACTGTGAATTAACTGCCAACTATTGGGTTGTTAGTTGTAAAGCTCAATAATGGCTGTGCTGGTTCCCATATTGAGGAGACATGCCATGGGAGTGGGTCTCTCAGAATCATCCTGAGGCATTCTGCCAGCCCTGCGACTTCTGCACCAGCATCAGAATCTCCCACAAGGGATCCCATAGGTGCAGCTAACATTCTTGTTGGATTTCGTCATAAGGCAAATTGGAGCGATTCATCAAATGACAGCCGCAGAGTGTTTGCCTGAGAGTGGTGAAAGTCAGTGTAGAGATCTCCCACAGGGAGGCCTTGGGAACCAAGGAAAAAGAAGAAGACGAAGAGAGTCTAGACCCTCCCTCCCCATCCACAAGCCCACCCGCCTCACAGTCTCAGCAGCAGCAGATTCCAATACAATGCAATTACTTTAATGATACATTTCTTTAGATTTAGAATTGCTCTTCTGAATTGAAAAAGCAAGGTTGGCCAAGAGTCTGGCAGTCTTTTCATCCCAAATTTGAATCACTGATTAGTCATCTATCATCTTGAATTCCTTGACCCTTGCTGCCTCTGCGGAAGCACCCTAAGTTCATTCAGCCATCATCAGATTCCAATTCCTGGGATACCTCTTCAGAGGAGCTATTCCTGTGAATCCGGCCATCACTCTTCATACTATGGAAAGTCTTCTTGAAGGCTTCCATCATGGCATGGGCTAGCTTCTTGGCCTCGAGCTTGCTCTCACACTCGACAGCATGGCAGTCCATCTGGTATGACAGATCGTCGTTGATCTCCCTGTACACCCAAGCGAAGATGTTGGGGCTTACGGTGTGGTCGGCGGTGCAGTAGGCAATGCGAGCCACCTGGAAGGTATCCATGTGAACGGTGGCCTCACCTTTGTGGTCGAGATGATGGAGCCACACTTGGAAGGGACGGATTTCCAGGAGAGCATTGGCTGGGAAGATGTCTTCTCGGGCTAGTGTGTGCTTCTTCCAGAGTTCAATCACTGGCTTTTCTGTGCAGCCAGATAGAAACTGCATGCTTGTAGTGGAAACTTTACCCAGATAGGTAACCTGCAGAGGGGAGAGAGGAAGAAAAGGAGAGAGAGGTCAATAGGAGGCTCTTTGTTCTAGGTGGTTAAATGAGTGACCCTTTGCTTTTCAATCAATTCCAACTCATAGCAACCCTCTGGGACAGAGTAGAACCACCCCAAAAGATTTCAAGGCTGCGATATTAACAGGAGCAGACTGCCTCATCTTTTTCTTGTGGAAGTAACTGGTGTGTTCAAACTGCCAAACTTTCAGTTAGCAACACAGTTGCTCTAATCATGGCTGCACCACCAGCCCTCCACTGAGCAGATGTTCTCAGTCACACTGAAAACAGACATTCTGCCAGAATAGCTGCCCACTGGAAAAATGCTTTAAAATGTTTCAAATAGAGTTGGGCTTTTGGAAAACATTTAATTTCTAGAAAACTAGTCTTCCTCAGCCCACCATGGTTTCCAACTCAAATTAGAATGTCTCGTCAAGATCTTTTTGATATGCTGGTATTTCTTTAAAATCAAAAAGCCACTCAAATTATACTTTCAATCAAATGCACATAGAATTTAATGACAGACAGGAGTCAAAAGGATGCTGCATTTGGAAAAACAAAATTTTTATTAAATTTATCTCTTAGGTGGATTCTCTTTCCAAATCTCTCAGTATTTGATTTCACGCATAGTTGCTGCTAGCAAATGCCAAGGATGCAGACAATGCCCTGTATAAATTACAGCCTAAAGCATGGTTATTTTCTATGCTTAGATAGTTTCTAAAGATTAAAAAAAAAAAAAAAAAAATACAGTGTGGCCTGTTATTTTTCAACTTAATTTTTGACCTGAGAGACATATGGTTTTGGTAATAATGAAATAAAAGATTCGGGGTTGCTGTTGTTGTTAAGTGCCATCAAGTCGATTCCAACCCATAGCGACCCTGTGTATGGTTTCCGAGGAGCAGCTGGTGAGCATGAACCACCGGCCTTGCAGTTCAAACGGCTTTGCAGTCTGGCGCATTAACCCACAATGCCACAAGAAGTTAAATCTAGAATCCTGGCTTATCAAATAGAGGGTGGTCCTAAACACAGATGGAGTACTGCAGGATAATGTGCTGGAATGCAAGGTCAGCTTAAACCGCAAGGTCGGCAGTTCAAATTCACCAATCAATCCTCAGAAACCCTATATAGAGTTGCTATGAGTTGGAACTGACTCACAATGCTTAACAACAACAACACACACACACACACACACA